GAGGATGACCTTGAACTTCAGATCATCCTGCCTCCATCTCTCTAGTGCCGGGATTGTAGGTGTGCGCCACCAAGCTACATGGTGAGGGGCTTGAACTCACAGCCTTGTGCGTGCTGGGCAGAGATCTAGCAGCTGAGCTAAAACCCAGACCCATCACTGGAATTCTAATTGGGCCACAAATCCTGTCAAGAGGAAAGTGGGGTGTGATGAGAAGCTAGCCTGGGCTATGTAGTGAGTTCTGGAGCAGCCTGGGCTACATATAAAGACCCTGTCTCAAACAAACTAAACAACTGCTTGCATCACCCACATATACACACTGGATCAAATATCAAGGTTCTCGGTGAACCATAGAGAAGACGGTCAAACTGCCCTTTCCTGTGTTTGGTCAGGAGCAGTAACCAATAGTTCCAGCTGCCTGGAACCGTGAAGGAGACCCTGTGACACTCTCCAGTGTTGGGGATGTTGGGCACACGGTTGTCAGCTGTAAAGGAAGGGACATGTACCCCAGCTCTCTACCTCAGCACACATGACAGGCTCATCCACTTCGCCAGCCCCCGCCGGAAAAGGTATTTAATTTGCCTTTTACAACGTGCCAATTGCAAGTTAATTAACTGGCAATTGAGAGTTATAGGCGGCATTAGAATTTATTAATAACATTGGAAGTAAATCTCCCTGGGAATTCAATTAATTGAAAAATCTCGTGAAACTCTCCATAAAGCAGGTCTGTGAGAGACCGTGCTTAGAACTGCAGGTGCTGGCTCTTCTCGGGGTGGGGAGGGGTTTGTGTTCCGACTGGGGCTGCTTTGGGAAGCCTTTATCCCTCTCTTGGCCCGGCTCCTTCTCACACTGCCTTAAGGGATCTGGACAGGAGGTGATCTCATTGCCCAGGTCCTGTCAGGTAGGGGGTCAGTGATCTGACACAGTGCTCCCTGTGTTGTACCCAGCTAGCCTGGGGACTGAGGACGGGGGCATATTCCTGCACCTGGACATCCACAGTTGAGCACGGAAGGGTGAGCTAGGGGTGAAATTTGTTCGAGTGAGTCACAGGTTTGGCTGGGAGTCCTTGGCTATACCCTTATTACCCCTGCTGGGACCCAGTGCCGGCTGTTTCCACCCCTACACCTGATGGTTTGGGGAAGGCTGAGAAGAAAGGACACAGGTGAGACCTACTCAGGATCAGCAGTCTTGAGCGTTTGCAGTGGCTGGAAGCTGTGGAGGGCCAGGTGGGGTTTCTGGTTATGGAATAAGCAGCTAAGAAGTTGTGTTCAGGCCATAAGGCTGGCCTCTCCCCCAATGCCCTTTGGAGGAGCGCCTTTGAGCCTCACAGCGTGCGCATGCGCATACGCATAGCATGCAGGGAGATGGTGGAAAGGCGAGGAGGGGAGGAAGAACATAGGTTTCTGTATCTCTTGCCCTGGGGAAGGAACAAAGACGTGTGCCATTCTCTATCCAGAACATTCCTGAGTTCCCTGTTCCCTGTCAAAGTTCAGCTTCAAACACATCCTCTCCCCCCACCCCCGTCTCCCAGTACTGAGTGATCCTGGGCTAGCTGGGTCCAGGACCGTGAGGGTAGAAAAGAGAACCACACACCTACCAGGTCTGGGAACGTTCCAGTACAGGCAGGTGACATTCCCAACCGTGTGTCTTTTGGTCTCTCTCATCTTTAGCTTCTGGTTCCGAACTCTGTAGCTCAGAGCCTCTGCTTTCTCCATCACCTGGATACTTGATGTCCATATTCTTTGCTAGATTTGAACTCTGGTTTCAATGTCAGCAGACATCGGCTTTGGTTTGCAGAGGACCAGACACACAGCAAGAACTTGATGGTACCAAGGTCTATAGTGACCCAGCAGCCGTTCTGGACCCCACTCTGATCCAGGGACCTTGCTTAAGTATTTGGGTTTTTCTGAGGTTCTAGGAAGGAATTAAGTTTTTGCTGAGCCAAGCCTGGGAAGGAACAGGAGACAAGGTAAAGGGTGCCCGGGTACAGCCCTAGTCGGAATAACTCTGCCTCACAGCAGACCACTTTTTAACTGTCCACATTCCCAAATGTCACAAAAGCCATCTCTCCTGTGACTAGACATGGCTTGCCTAGACCAGACCAGCAGACCCCTTGAAAGAGCAAAGACAGACACCATATTAATGTATAGTATTCCTAGATTCTGAGTTTAAAATTTATTATTATTGTGCGTGTACGATGCATTGTGGGCTGGACATGTCACGATGTATGTGTGGAAGTCTGAGCTGTCACAGGACAACGTTGTGAAGTTGGTTCTCTCAGCTCACTTTTATGCTGGTTCTGGGATTGAACTCAGGTCCCCAGGCTTGTGCAGTAAGTGCTTTTCACACTGGCTCCATAGTCTGGTTTATTGTGTTTTATGTGGTCTGAGGTCGCAGCTACTGCTTGCACACTGAGTATATCCTACACTAGAGCTTGAACAAATTCTTTTTTTGCTTGTTTGTTTGTTTTTTTGTTTTTTTTGAGACAGGGTTTCTCCGTGTAGCCCTGGCTGTCCTGGAACTCACTCTGTAGACCAGGCTGGCCTCGAATTCAGAAATCCACCTGCCTCTGCCTCCCAAGTGCTGGGATTAAAGGCGTGTGCCACCACCGCCCGGCTGACTTGAACAAATTCTGTTGACACTCAGAGCCTTGTGAAATCGGAGCCCGGTGGGCGGGTGATTGACAGCTATGAAGGAGGAAATGGAGCTGTCTGTATTTTCCCTCCTCATGAACTCATCAAACTCATCAAGATAAGCTCACTTGAATCACTCTTTAGGTTGGTGAGCTGTCCCAGTGGGAAGCAGGTTAAATACCCCCGCCTGGAGTCATGCAATGCCTGGAATCGCTCAGTTAAACCCTCTGCCTTCTAGGCTTATAGCATGGTGACATTTGCCTTTAACCCCAACACTCAGGAGGCAGAGGCAGGTTGATCTCTGTGAGTTCAAAGCCAGTCTGGATTACATAGTGAATTCCTGGTCAGCCAAGTCTTCATGGTGAGACCCTACCTCATAAAACAAAAACAAAGCTACGTTTCTGCTTTGCTGGGCTGGGGCCCCAATTTAGCTTAAATTCAGCCTCAATGGAGAGAGCGGGCAGCCACTTCTTTTCTTTCTTCTAAAAATTTATTTTGTTTTTATTTTGTTTTGTTTTGTGTGTGTGTGTGTGTGTGTGTGTGTGTGTGTGCGTTTCATCCTCACATAAGTTTGTACGTGCACATGTATGTGGATAAGTGTAGAGGCCAGGAAAGGGCATTGGCCAGCCTGGAGCTGGAGTTTCAGATGGTTGTGTGCCCAACATGGGTGCCATGCATGGAACTTGGATCCTCTTGCAAGAGCAGACAACTGTAGTAACGACTGAGCCATCTCTCCCTCCCCATCTTCAAATATAGACATATGGATTCTTTTGTGTGTAGCAGTGCACATCTGGAGGTCAGTGCACATCTGGAGGTCAGAGACAACTTGCAGGAGTCAGTTCTCTCCTGTCACATGGGTCCTGAGGATTGTACTCAAGTCACCAGGCTTGGTGGCTAATGTTTTTACCTATGGAGCCATCTGAGCTACTCTGAGAGGCCACTTCTGAGGGCTACCTCCGCTTTCTTGCTTTCTTGGGTTCCTCTGCCTCAGAAACCTTAAAGTTGCCCTGAAGCTGGACACAGGTGTTTATCCATTCTCTGGTATTAATTATCTGGGTGCAGCCCAGCCTCCCCTCCCCCACAGCTGTCAAGCCACACAAAGACCACAGTGGAGAGAGCACCTTTATTTGAAATAACATCACAGGTCTCTGATCACCTCTTGGAGACAGAGAATAGCTCAGGGCGAGCCTACAGGGCCCAGTGGGATCATGTAACAGCTTTGAATAAGCACCAAGATCTTTATGGACCATCATTTCTGCCAGGCAGGGAGATACACCCGAGGGTGCTGCTTTCTGTTCTCTGAGTGTCAGGGGCCATGGCCCGGTTAGAGGAGCACCAGGGTAGAGGGGTCACAAGAGACCAAGCACCAGCCAGAGAGGCCTTCGGGGCTGTGGAGCCGTTCTTCTGTGGAACCTGCCAGGACCCCAGCCTCAAGGTGTGTGGGTGTGGCCTCTAGCAAGCCTAGGATACAGGCAGTTTGACTCTGTTAAGGGGACACAGATTTGTGTCGTCCATCAAATTAGGAGGCTCTAGTGATATTCATGAAAGAGTGACTGTGTGGAGGTTGTAAGTTCCACCCTGGAAGGATGGTCTCATTAAATGGCCCTTCCTTCTCTGTGGGGGAGGGCAGGTAAGGGCCAGTGGGCTCAGCAAGACTGGGAGACATTAGGAAGCATCACCAAACAGATTCAAAGCTCTGTGCCCTTCTCATTCTCAGAACCTCTCCCTCACAGTCCCAAACTCCCCTCTTGGAAGATGACCCCTACCCACAGCCCAAGGAGATGACCAGAGGAAGAGAGGCAGGCCCAAAATTCTGTAGTGTCCTGATGTCTTTCCAGGTGGCCTTGCCTCCTGGCAGCCCAGCTGCCTCAGGAATCCTCTGGGCCACACACCTCATGGAGAGGGATGTAGGTCATGGCTTCAGCAACAGTGAGGCCTGGGTTAAAATCTACCCCCACACCCTCACATCCAGGATCTGGGTCATGTGTACTCTCTGCACATCGGTCCCCAGGCTGAGTGGGGATCACAGACCTACCTTTTAAGGGTTAAATGAGACAATATAGGGAAAGTGTCTGAGCTGGCCCCAACCTTGACTGAGGCAGGTGCTCGGGCATTGAGAGTTATGATTACTCTCCCACCCACCCAGACCCCCTCTCCCGCGGGAGTGGGGGGGAGGGGGCAGGGGCAAAAGAAGAGATCTGTCAGGGTGCTTGTCAGCACTGGGCCCTGCCCCTTTGGAAGCACCATCTCTCCCCAGGGACCCCGGGCTCCCAGTATCCTCCACAGTCGTCCCTGCCTGATGCCCAGTCCCACATGGGGAGTCTTCAGGATACAGCTGCAGGGCTGGGCTCACACTGGAGAGAGGGACTCTTACTTCCTGTCGCCAGCCTGGTCTATGCTCTTTTGTGCAGGGTCAGGGCCCAGCAGGGCAGCCAGGATGCTATCGGGTCGAGGGCCCCCTCGCTTCATCTTGAGATTGGCTCTCAGGGCGGCATCTTGCCCAGAGCCCCCCTCAGGGGAGGCCAGGGGATCTGGAAGGAGGGCAGAAGGAAGGGTTGCTCAGGACAGCCTAGGTGTACCCAATGGCCTCTGCCTCTGCTCCCAGTGAGAGGAAGCAAATAGGCTCTGTCCCTCATTCATTCATTCATTCATTCATTCATTCATTCATTCAGCAGCATACACATTCATTCATCTATTAATTTGATCACCCATTCACACACTCAGGTCCCCATTCATTTCCCCATTCATTCATCATCTTTCCCATTCATTCATTGTCTTTTCCATTCATTCATCTAGTCATGCCATCATTCATTCACTTTGCCATTCATTAATTTCTCCATTCTCTCATTTATTCATCCACTAGCCCATTCTCTTATCCACCCACTCATTCTCCCAGTCATTCATTCCCCCGTTCATCCATCTGTCTACCTACACATTCTCCCACTCACTCATCCACCTTGGCACCGTCCCATGTGTTCGATCCTGCGTTCATCATGTCGCTGCACCCGCCCACTCGTTCTTTAGCCAATAGCAAGTGGCCAGAGCTCCGGACCCTGCAGATTCACCAGCCACCCCTAGCTTGTATAAGGGGTCCCCAGTGTATCAGGAAGACACAGGGAAAACTCATTCCATGATGAGAAGGGAGATAAGGAGAAAGAGGAGGGCTCTGGATAGCTTCACCAAGGAGCATGTTCTGATGTGGGAGTCAGTGGTCAGCAGGTGGAGGGACTGGCCTGAGCGAGCGATAAGACAGGAGGCAGCCAGGCATGGCTGGGTATGGCTGGTCATCCCCTGTGATGCTGGAGATTAGGGCTTAGACACTTATTGTCCTTCAGCAGATGGGGGATGGGGATGCAAAATCAGAGGAGCCATTTGTCAATAACAAGGCAGAGTCCCTGAAGCCGGGGACCACACAGCTTTAGCAGCCCCCACTGGGGTAGCAGGTCATGGGAACGTGGGAGGCCTAGCTGTTACCATGGACTCCAATCATGTGTTCCAGGATAAGGACCCTCTCCGCCAGGATCTTCAGGGCCTCTCGAAGCTGCTGCACACCTTCTCCCTGGTGGGAATGAAAGGCCAGGTTCAGGGTCTCAGTCAGCCTGGGGTAGGCATAGGCTATGCAAACACAACCTCACAGCCCTGCCTCTCCTGCCATGTCCACACCACTACAATCCAGCATCAAAGCTCAGCACTGGCTGTGTACCAGGCTGGTGCTCCAAAGAGGATTCACCAGTGAGAAACCTGGAATCCAGTCAGTAAGCATCCCCACAAATTACCCAGCATGAACTGCTGGCCTGGGCTTCTACTCTAGACCTGGTGGGCTCAAGCCTGTTTTTCTCCTGTCATGGTTTTTCTAAGGACTCCTTCCCAGCATGCCCTGGGATAATTTTTTTTTTTTTGTCAATATGACACAAGCTAGACATATCTGGAAAGAGTAACCTCAATTGACAAAATGCCTCCATCAGATTGGCTTGTAGGTCAGTCCGTGGCCTACAATTAATCAATTTCTTGACTGATGATTGATGTGGGAGGGCAGAGCCCACTGTGGGCAGTATCACTCCCTGGGCAGGTAGTCCCGGATTGTATTAGAAAGCCAGCTGAGTAATCTATGGGGAATGAGCCAGTAAGCCGTTCCTCTATGGTTTCTGCTTCGGCTCCTGCCTCCAAGGTTGCTGCCTTGACTTCCCCTGAGAAAGGGCTGAAACCTGTAAACGGAAATTAACCTTTTCCTCTCCAGGTTGCTTTAGGTCATGGAGTTTATTGCAACAATAGAAAGCAAACTGATGTGAGCAGTCTGTGCTCTCAGCTGCTGAGCCATCTTCTCTGCCTCATTCATCATATATTCTTGAGGGACACAGTTCAAGCTCCAATTCTCACCATGTAAAGGATTATCTCAAAAACACCATGGACCTGAATGTAAGAGCCCAAATCATAAAGCCTTTAGAAGGGAACATAGGTGTCGGGAATTGTAACCTTGGACTAAATGATGGTTTCTTTGAGGTAGTACTTAAAATACAATGGCCAAGCTGGGTGGTGGTGGCGCACGCCTTTAATCCCAGCACTTGGGAGGCAGAGGCCAGCCTGGTCTACAGAGTGAGTTCCAGGACAGCCAGGGCTACACGGAGAAACCCTGTCTCGAAAAAACAAAAAACAAACAAACAAACAAAATACAAAATACAATGGCCAAAAACAAAGTAGGCAATGGGATGTCTTAAAAGAGGCTTTTTTCTTCATAGTGAGGAAAAGTAGCAGAATGAAATCTCACTCGTAAGATGGAAGATAAGTTTGCAATTATTGAACACCACATTGGACTGTTTTTAATCGAGGATACATGAAGAACCCTTACAAGCTTTGACCTCCCATGAGGACAGACTGTAGACCTGAATCCGTTCTGCAGACAATGTTTATCACAGTGACGGAAATCAACCCGGAACACCCACCTTCCAGACAAGACCAAGAGGCCAGAGCACCCAGCTCAGAGGCCTGCCGGTGAACACCGAGATCTGCACCTGCCGGGGTCAGGCCAGAAAAAGACTGGAGACAGCCGAGCCTGCCCAGGCTGCTGTGGAGCTAGTGCCAGGAGCGTCTCCAGAACCTCATTCCACGTGGCTTTGGGTACTTGACTGCACATAGTAGGCTGCTGACTTTTGAGAGACAGACAGCAAGGCGGAGGCAACACCAGGTGGCCAAGGGGCAAGGCCCCCACCCCAGGGCAGCACAGGGCTGGGGGCAGGGCAGGTGTGTGGTTTTGCCTGTGGAACATAGGGGTCTGCTGTTCCATTCAGAGTCAAGGGGGGAGTCAGAGAGTGTTTATTAGCTGTTTAGAGCGAAGTTCCCACCAGGAGACAGGGGACAGTGGTGTGCAGAATCCATGCCTCCTAGCTGGGGAAGAAGCTCTGGGCGGGGAACTGGGGTCTTCACCATCTCTCAGTCAGAGACCCAGAGAAGCTGTCCTCTCCTCCCCTCCTCCCTTTTCTTTTCTTCCCTTCCTTCCCCTCTCCTCCCTTCTCCTCCTCTCTCCTCTTCCCCTCCCATCTGATTTCCTTCTTCCTTCCATTCCTCATGTGCTTTTTTTTTTTTAATTTTATTTTGTTTTTTAGCCTGGGCTAGTCTTGAACCTGTGCAATTCCTGAGTCAGCCTCCTTAGCACTCTGGGATTTTCTCTTCCTTAAGTATAGCAAGACCTTCCTAAAGCCCCTATTCTGCCATGCTTTGACTCGGCCTCAGTCCTGTAGCCCAGGCTGCCTCCTCACTGACTCTTGAAGTCTGCCACAAACCTACTTCCGGCACATACCGGAAGTCCTCAACAGGCACATCCCTTCCCCGACTGTTTTTGTTCTTGTCATTTATTTTTTGTCCCCCACCCCACCCCACCCCACGCCAGTCTTCCAAGGTCTCAGGATTCCTGTGCAGGCTGTGGACAACCTTGAACTTCATGCTTGGTAGGCAAGCACTCTACCAACAGAGCCACAGGCCCAGGCCTGTGTTTACAATTTCCCCTGAGAACCCCAACACCCCGGTTCCCTTTCCTCCCCCTCCAAGCTCTTGTCCCAGCTCCTACTCGCTTGTCCCAATCTTTTCCCGTTCCTATCCTCCTTCATTAGGGTTCCAAGTTGAACCCCCCCTTCCTCCACCCGTTGAACCCCACATCCACCAGCCCATGCCCACCAAGTCAGTGTGGCGACTGCTCTTTGTAACCGGGCTTGTCAAGGGGCAGTGTCTTCTCCACATGTTTATGCCCCGCCCCTACCAGCCACTCCTGAGAATGCTCCTCCCATCCCAGCATCCAGACTCAGTCATCCCAGCTGTAGCAAGCCCACAATTGCTAGAGTATTCACTGTCACCTTGTTGAGCTGGAAACTACCAGAGGAAAAAGGAGGACTCTGTCCTCAGCAGTCAGTACCCAGCTCAGGACTGGCCTTGGGTGCTTGGCTTTCACCTCTAGTACAGGAGACATTGTCAACAACCATAGTTACCTCTGCGGTGGTGGCTTTGTCCTCTTCTTCCTTCACACTGGGCTCACCCTAGGAAGCAAATCTCATGGTCAAGATATTGGTAGGGGCAAGGGCACCTCTCCACCCTCAGGGACATGCAGAAACTGAAGACAGATGGTCTGGGGTGACACAAGGGATGGAAGGCATAGACCAGGACATTACTTGTTCAGTCTGCCATAGGGAGGTATGTAGAGTCACCCCAAGGACTGTTCTGAAACATGGGGGACTTGGGCTTGGAACTTGGAGAGCTCATGTGTCAGCTTTTGTGAATGTTCATTAAATCACTTTTATCTCTGGGCTCTGTTTCCCAGTCTCTAAAATGGGGCCAGTAAAACCAGCATCTTGGAATATACACAGCCAATGACTGCTTCGTGGCTTTGAGAGATGTTAACCTCTCTGTGCCTTTACTGCTCACCTCTGAAAGGTGACTTGTAATAATACCTATCATGCTTTTATGAAGGAGATTACATAGATTAATACTGAGCCAGGGTTTAAACTATTCTGAGTTCCAGAAGTGTTGTCAAAGATGGTGCCGCCATTAGTCACTAGACAGAGGCATAGGAGGAGGCAAGCCTTGGAGGTTGACAGATGTTCCTGAGTTTAAATCCCAGCTCTGCTGTTGTGCTGTGTGGCTTTGGGGAATTACTTAATCTCTCTGAACCACAGCTGTCAGTTCTGATAGATCAGTATAATAAAGCATAGTCTGAATATGTGGTAGTGAGGCTTAAACACATGAAGACGGCTACCCCTATTGTATCAGTAGCTACTCAGCAGACATCCATTCTCCACCTCCTGACCCTGATGTGTGGCGTGAACATGAAGGACTAGCCTCTTTGTTTCATCTTAGAGACTGGAGCTGAGACTCATAAATCCTTGTGTCTGAAAAGGGTCACGGAAGTCAGCTGTCTGAGTACCAGACTCTGGGATGTCCAGAGAACCAAAGAGACCTTTCTGGTTACACAGATTGTGAATCTGTGATTCTGGGCTATACAGCATTAATATGAAACTCGAGACCACTTGGTACATTAACTTGTGTATAAGCTGTGACTAGACTCTCCCAGGACAACCCCCAACTTGAGGCCATTTCCACTGTTGTCACACTCTCAGGAAGGAGTCCCACCTCAGGTTACCCCTTTCCTTTTGGGACAGCTCAGGCTGTATGTACCTGGTTTGTGCCTTCAGATCCCTCCCCTAGTTAGGATAGACAAGCCTATGTTTGGGGACACTAGGGACCTGGGTGTAGACATGGTCCCCAATTTCCCGGTGCCCAGCCCATACTTACAGATGGCCTTGCCACAACCTGCTTATCCACCAGGCCCTGAAAAAAAAACATCAGTGGTATTCTCCTGTCTCAGATGGTTTTCTGCCTCTGACCCCGCCTACATTGAATCCCAGCAGAAGAGGAAGCTGGAAGTTCAAACTTGGGAGCTGACTGGGTCTGCAGCCCCACCCACAGCAGAAGTCTGATACTAAGCCTTGGGTGAGCCTCCGGTCCAATCCCTTGTACAACAAAGCAGTGCCAAGCATGGCCATCATGCAGAGGAGGACAAACTTCGGCAGAAAAGCCTATAAGTAACTGAGGCAGAAGGATGGCCATGTATGTGCTGATTCAGGGTTTATATGTGCCAAATCCAGGGCTCTCAGTCGTATGCTTATGTGTGCAGCTGTCTCCTGACACCCAGCTGCTCACAAAATACTGCTTGATCTTTCACTAAAATGGGACCCTAGTTCTGGCCTCACAGAGTGAGCCAGAGGGACCTTCTGAAAATGCAAACAGTATCATGAGAAATGACTCCCAACTCAACCAGTGCCATCTATACAACAGAAACCTTCAGAGGTCCACAGATAAGACCAGACACCTTACCTAGTCTTACATGCCACCCTGTGTTTACTACCAGCCTTGTCCCTAGATCAGGGCATCGGCACCTCCCCTCCCCCTCTAAACTGATGGACCACATGGATGGACAGGCAGAGAAGTTCCCAGGGTTTGGGGCTGTCCAGTCAGGCTTCCTCTCCCGTAGGTGATTCTCAGGAAAAGAACAAGGATTCCATTGTCACTGGGTGACCTCCTGAGAACGTCTGTGTGGTCTCCAGCAATGTGGTCTCCCTGGGAGTCAGCTCACCAACAAAATGGGAGTGGTACCACACTGGAACATTGACACCCTAAGACTACACCCTCTACTACACTAGAAATGGTTGTGTCCTTACCTGGGATCCAGGTGCTCCTGGGGGCCCTGGGGGACCATGTGGTCCTGGGGGACCTGAGGGTAAAGTCGTTGGTGAGTACCCAAGGTCAGAAAAGGCCGCTGATCCCCCATCTGATATGAACAGAGACATTCCCGGCATCCTGCCCCTGCCTTGGGTCTTCCCCCACTGCTAACAAATGAAAGTTTGATGAATGGACATCGTAAAAGACTCACATACTCCAGGCTTCCCACCCTCGGATCTCACACTCACCCCTATCCACCCACCTCCTTCTATTCCCAATCCACATGGTTAATGTAATCCTAAAGCCAGGAGATTGAACAGGGAGCTAATAATTCAGGGTGTCCCAGCCTAGCCTGTTCATCCCCTGCCAATCTGGAAACCTTGAACCAGCCCCTCTAATAGCCTCCATCCATTTCCCCTTGTTTACCATGGCTGCCCACCACGTCCATCCAAATCACACATTTAGAAAGCTCTGTTAGGGACCTCTGAGGCCCCCGCCAATTCCGGATACCTTTGTAGATACAGAGATGACTCTAGAGTCATATGAGAGGAGATGCCCAAATTAGACTGGTGTGTAGGTGTGCTTGGGGGATTGTCTTAACTATTAATTGATGTAGGAGAGCCCAGTCCACTGTGGGTGGCAACATTCCCTAAGCAGGTGGTCCTGGCTGTACAAGCCTGAACCGGTTAGCCAGCAAGTAGAATTCCTCCATGGTTTCAGCTTCAGGTTCCTGCCCTGGCTTCCCTCAATGGCAGACTATGCCCGATAAACTGAAATAAACCGTGTCCTCCCCTGAGCTGATTTTGGCCATGATATTTGTCACAGCAACAGAATAGAAACGGCAACATTCCTAAGTCCCCACCAGGACCTCTTCACCCCCCCCCACACACACACACAGAGATGCCCTTCTGGAAGGTTCCACTGGTGCCGTTTCTTCTCATCATTTGATGAGCAAACTCCCCATTATTATTTCTTGGTTCTCTTAGCGGCACTGGCACCCCAGGATTTCTCCCTTTCCTCCTCCACATAAATCTTTGGTGTGGCCAGCCCCTGCTCATGCCAGTGTGGGCCAGCCCCTGCTCAGGCCAGTGTGGGCCAGCCCCTGCTCATGGCCACCATGGGCTTCATGCCTATTTCTTCCAGTAGCCCAGGGGATGTCCTGAGGACCAGGCTTTCAACCCTTTTCCCTGCATTGACCTGCACTTCTCCAGCCTGAGGGAGCCTTTACTAGGTGGCCCATGTAGCCACCTCAGGAGAAGACATAGCACAGTCTAGTTATAAAACAAATACCATCTCTGTACCCCAAGCAGGGCAGAGACGTGTCATGTCACCTGGAAGTTCTCAGTACCCCACGAATCTGCTGCCTCACCTCTTTCAAAAATAACCTTCTGTGTGAACCCCACTCATCTCCTTTCCAAAGCTGCCTCTCACCATTGATTTCTTCCATTCTACAGAAGAGTGGGAAGGAAATCCAGGTCTTTGTGTATGTTAAGTAGCAACTCTACCACCGAGCCACGTGCCCAGCCCCTCACTGGGGGATTCTAGACAGGGGCTCTACCACTGAGCCACGCCCCCAACCCCTCACTGGGGGATTCTAGGTAGGGGCTCTACCACTGAGCCACGCCCCCAGCCCCTCACTGGGGGATTCTAGGTAGGGGCTCTACCACTGAGCCACGCCCCCAGCCCCTCACTGGGGGATT